GGCGGCTCTCGTGCTGGGGCTGTACACGTTTATGGTGCCGCGGTCGGCGGAGACGCAGGCGGGGGCGGCGTCGATCGAGCTGCTGGACGACATTGACTGGAAGAAGGTCGGCAGCGAGGGGTTCACCAGTTTTATGGAGCCTCGGGGGAGCCAGTCGTTCACGACGGCGGACGACCCGGCGACGAACTTTATCCGCAACGGCGGCACGATCTACATACGGGGGGTACCGCACCAGGGGGGATATCTGTCGGCGCGACGGATATTGTTGGACTATGGCAGTCTGCTGAAAGACACGGGGAAGTGGAGCGTGCGGAAGTTTTCCTACGTTTTGCACATTATGAGCGATGTTTTGATGGATGTTGATTGAGGACATACGAATTATGGATAGACATTACGGATTGACGTACTATTCGTGCAGCTCCTCTTCCCAGCGGATCTCCTCCCGGCGGAGGGTTTCTACGACGGTGTTCCGCTGGATGAGTCGACAGGTACGTCGACAGCGGACGTCGACAGTGGTGCGGCCTGGCGACGGTGATAGGCATCGTCGGACGTGTCGACAGGTATCGACAGGCACGGCGAAGAGATGAAGATGTTTTCAGCGGCCAGCACCGATGGACAGGGGTCGCGGTGGCGGACCGGGTCGAAACGACCGGCAGCGTCGGTAGTTTGCCGACGGGGCGGAGACGATGATTTGGCGGTGGCCAGGCCGTTCTTGAAGGTGGGAGGTGTTTCGGAGCCTTCTTCAACCATGGCTGTGCTGGCACGGCAGTCGCAGCAAGCGAGAACAGGTCATGTATAGTAACATGTACAGCACTAGCTGGCGGTAACTTGTACCAGGGGAACTTACGGCGAGTCTTATGTGGGCACCTGCTTCCATGTGGTATATGGTATGTACTGTACTGTGCTGTATATAGATTGGCAAGTATCTATCGGACTTATATGTGTCTAGTTTGTTAATCTTGCGGACCTTAGTTGCCTATCAGGTGTTATGTATGGAAGAGAACTGCTGATACGATGATATTGTCGTGCCTGTCTAACTGTTATTCTACAGCCTGCTTTTAGTCTTCTCTGTTTGTCCTGCTGCTTCTGGCTTTTTCTTATAATACTGCGTAAAGTCGTGTCGGAGGACATCCAGGGCCTAGAAAGCAACATCAGCAAGGCCAGTCCACATCTAGATGAGAGATACCCACCGTCGCCATCTGTCTCTGCAACTCCGGGTCCGTCTCCGCCCGCACACACAGCTGGAAGAACGGATCCTTCTCGCGCGCCGTCTCCGGATCCTGGTCGTGCAGCCGGCGGAAATTCTCGCGCGACATGGGGTCGATGATCTCCGCCCAGATCTTCCGTCGGATCTCGCTGTACTTGTCGAGGATCGTGTCGTCGGCGAGGCCGAGATGGATACCGACCAGCGCGTCGTACAGGCTGCCGATGTCTGCGATGCCGCCGGTGAGGCCGAGGCCGCCACTGCATACACATACATATCAGCATTAGCATTATCAGTCAGTCAGTAGTAAGGATGTAAGGATGATTATGACCATACAAAGGATTACACAAATGCGCCGCATCCGCCGCCAGCAGAACCCTTCCTACACGGAAACCCGGCGCACACCGCTGCTGCAGCTTGTACGGACTGATATTGACGATCTTATACTCTTCTGGTTTTGGGTGCCCCGGTAGGATCTCCTCGAAACGCGTCGGCTGCCGCGCTATGTACTCCTCGCGCGAGAGTCCCACGACGTCGCCGTAGGTCACCCGGTGCAGGCCGTCGGTGCCGATCTTGGCCGCCATGTACCAGTTTGTCGGGTGGACGATGAAGTTGGAGTCCCAGAAGCCGTGTTTGGAGAAGTCGTAGTATACCTGCGTAGCAGTTAGCCGTCCATAAGAAAGGAATATATAGAGGTGTATGGGAGGATACATTCGTCGCGATGATCTGCGCATCCAGCGTCTCGCCGGGATACTCACTGCC